GACTTTTTGTCATCCTATCCTGACAAGTTGGTATATCCACAGATCATAAGCCCTCCCTCTTCCCCCTTGGGGACCTTATATCCAAACATCTCATTCCCTATCCTAGGTGAACAGACCCTTTATCTGCATACCGTTTCCCATCCACAAGTCTACCTACCTACTCTACCTACCTTCTCAAAGCCACAACCCACCACCTCAACCCAACCAGCCCAGGATAAACAGACACAAACCCATAACGATATCCATCTCCAATATAACCCTCCCAAATCCTCTCCTCTCCTCCCCCTCCCCCCACCCAACCCAACCACATTCTACCCAGAAAAAATAGAAGGGAAGAAAGATGTGTCTCTACACCCCAACCCTCTGCACGAACTGCAACTCCTACTCCTTCGAACAATACCAATTCTGCCGCGCCGTGCTGCGCGAACTCCAGCGCATCAACGAGGACCCCGCTGTTGCTGCCGCGTCGCAATATAGCTTGCAGTTTGATCCGCCGGTTTGCGCGCCGGATTGGGCGAGGAATGTTCTTGTTGGGGAGGGTGGTGCTTGGATGGGGAGGGTGAGGGGGTGCGAGAGATGTTTTGAGAGTTATTGTTCGGGTTCTGGTTCTGGTTCTTCTGGGTCGAGTTCTGGTGGGGGATGGGGTTAGGTGGGTTGGCTCATTGGAATGGGACAGGATGGGCTGTGTGAGTGGTGAGTCAATATTGGGGAGGGAGTGTGAGGGAAGAAGGAAGAGAGTTCGTTCTGTTCTGTTCTGTTTCTTTCTTGATGGGCGTTATTAGAGAGGATGGGAATAGATGGGAAGAGGTACTCTTGGTCTGAATCAAGGAGTGTTGCTTTTCCCGGAAGATCTCTATAGGATGGACCAATAGATACCTAACTAAATCGAAGACGTGATTATAGCTCGTCGTGATCAATTTGTTTTCATGATCGATTTGTTCATACACATGTTACTATCAGCAAAAGTCTAAACGCCACACGCCGATAACAATAACGATACTTCTATATCACATTCACATCAAATGTCAACACAGCAAAACAATATCCATATCCATCCCATCAGTGGGCTTCGCCACAAGAACAGCCAGCCTCCACCGCAACGGACCGCTTCCGGAAATCGCCATGGTATGTATCGAGCCCCTCAGTGCGGACGTCTTCGCCGAGGGGATCGCCGAGCCAGGAGAGAGAGGAGCCCTGGGACTGGGTCTTGTCGAGAGAGGACACCGAGCTGGAACGGAGTTTCTCCGTGACATGTTTCAGGTCGAGATCGAGGTAGTCGGCGAGGAAAGAGCCGACTTCGGTGTTCTCGTGGTTGCCGACTAGAGGCCAGGCGTCTTGGGTGGAGGAGGCGTAGATGTTGACATCGACGGCTAGATTTGGTCAGTATAAAGTGATACGGTAATACAAGATAGACAGGCAAGGGGGATGGAATACCAGAGTGACCATGCGTGGACCAGCCGATCTGCGCCCGTCGACTGATGATGTCCGCAAACACGTTCGCCGAGTCATGCGGGGAGTTCGGGTCAAGTAGAAGGTCGATTTCTTCTTTCGAAGCGTCGGTGACACCCAGCGTCTCCGCTAGAAGATCGCGAGTATACTTGCGCTGCTTCGACTTGTCGGACTCCTGAGAGAGATACTCCCGGAATTTCTTGTTGGTGTACTCGGAGGAGTGGCTGGCGTTCGCCAGAACCCCCGGAAGCCATAGGTAGTCCGGATACGACGGGTGAAGCTGTCGCGCCGCGGCCAAACCGCCAGTCTCGTGGTCCGACGTGCTGACCACCACTCCCGGGGTGTCATCTTGCTCGAGGAACTCCAGCACGGCAGCGAACGCCTTGTCGTAAGCGAGAACCTCGTGGACCTGCGCGGCCGGGTCGTTGCCGTGTCCGGCGTGGTCGATGCGAGATCCCTCGATCATCAAGAAAAATCCATGCTCACTGTCGGCGGTAGCCTCGCTGAGGGTCTTGAGCGCGGTGCGGGCCATCTCCTCCAGAGAAGGATACACCTCATTCTGGCTGCGACGGTCGATCTCAAACGGGATATCCTTCTCCGCGAAGAGTCCGAGGAGCGGGAGTTTGGCGTCCGCACCCCCGTTCAACGAGTCGAAGCCCTGTCGATCATCTAGATACTGGAAGCCGTTATCCTTCGCGATGCCTACCAGGTCCCGATCGTCTCCGCGACAGCTGCCTTCGGTGGAGTTGGGCAGGAAGTGGCACCGGCCACCCCCGAGCATGAGATCCACTACACGTCCCAACGGGTGTTCGCCGATTTCCTGCTCGGCGATCCGATCCTCGTATTGTCTCATATTCACGTGTGAGGCAAAGCAAGCCGGTGTCGCGTCGGTGATGCGGGTCGTCACCACGAGACCGGTCTTGTAACCCTCCAGCGAAGCGGCCTCGAGGACCGTGCCGCAGGGGGTGTGGTCCGGGAGCACGGAGATAGCCCCATTGTAGCTCTTAAAGGCGCACGAGAAGGCCGTAGCGCCGGCCGCCGAGTCGGTCACCAGGCTGGAGCTGGACCTCGTCCGCGACGTCCCCACGATGTGTTTGTCCAGGAGGAGAGTGTCGTCGACGGGCAGTCCTTCGGTGTACTGCCTGAAATTCCGGGTCATGGTGAGACTGGTCGGACCCATTCCGTCGGACACCATGAAGATCAAATTGCGCTTGCCGCTTGGCTTGCCCCCGGGGCCCCAGGGTTGCTTGGAGTCAGCGCGGCTGCGGCTGGTCTCATGCTGGAAGACCACGGCGAGAACCACGACGGCAATGGTGGCGATCAAGGCCCAGGTGAAGAGGCCGACTTCTTTCCAGAACGCCCAGCGACTTTGCTGCTGCTCCCGATGAGTGCGTTCCCCGGTCAGCAGGGCGTCTTCCTCCTCGGCGTTCCGGATGGAAGAGCGGTCGGAGGAGGGCCGCGGGGCCAGAAGGGGCTCATCGCGCGCCATAGCTGGGAGGGGTCTCTTGGCGAAGAGACGGCGATGAAGACAAAGAACGAAACGCGAGCAAAGGTAAGGAAATGTCAGGATATATCATGAAGGAGGGAGGGAGGGAAGATGACGGGGAGACAGGAGAAAGTCAAGGGTGTTGCTGCTTTGGGCATGGCTTGGCACGGAGGCACCTGATACGTCACGTTCCACCGCCAAGACCCAGCTTTACAGACAGACAGGCAGTCTTGTCAGAATGAATTAATTGATTGAGTCGAGTTATTCAAGTATTATAGTACATATGCGTATATCCCACACGACTACCGGCCCTTCCATCCGATTGGAATCATAGCGGCCGCAATCTCCGACACACCGCGCTCCGTAGCCAGAAGATTGAACTGCGCCGCGGCATTCCTAGTATCAACCACCTCGACACGAAGACCTAGCGAATTGATCTGTCTCCTCGTCTCAGGAGAAAGAGGCATCACGGAAGCGCCCGTGCCCAGAATAAGCAGATCTGAACGTAGACCGATATATTAGCCAACAGCTCTGGCAAACAGCACGGAAAACCAGACGGAGAAAAAGAAAAAGCGACATACCCGGACGAGGCCACACCAGACCCAAGATTCCCCAAACCTGCTCGTCGACCTCAAATTGACCCTTCCGATTCATCATATCGGCTTTGCTCCCGCCCGTTACTTTCCACGGGTTCCATGAAAATGCCTCGCCTCCAACCAGCAGCACCCCGGAGCCGCCTCGTACCCGGAGCCCGTTGTTCAAGTGAAATCCGTTGTCCAGACAGGCGTCGACGGCCGTGGTCGGCGCCGGGATATCCCCTAGGACATTGAGCGCGGCAAAGTCCGTCTGCGTGTCTTCCTTCGACTCGGGGCCGCGGTCATGGTTGGCCGGCCGTTGGGAGTGGGAGCGAGGGATCATGCGAGTCGGTCGGGCATAGTCGCTGTTGTTGCGACGGAGCTGGGTGATTGGGGAGGGAGCAAGCGTCGGTCGCGAAAGGCTGGAGCAGATTCTGGCCATGTTGGTGGTCGCGATGGATGAGCGCAAGGCGCGGAGGAGTTGGGGGGATGGAGGGTGCATTATCAAGTGAGCGAATAGAGATAGGTCTGGATTGATGAGCAGTGAGGACCAATATCCCTCTGCGGTCGACTGATAGGATCGTGAAGCACAATAGCTGTGGGCAAGGATCGTCTGCGTTGACGTCGAAGTGATGGCGGAGGAGCGGCGAAGCTAATGGCGGACCAGTCAGTGCCTGGGAACTCAGGCAGGATTACACCAGTCGTGACCCAATCAGATATTGCATAATGCTAACACAAAACTTGAAAAGGTTCAGAGTGCGTACTTCTTTGCCATTTTTCCAACAATTCCTCGATGGTCTAACGGTCATGATTTCCGCTTGTCACTCAATAGAGAACGAGCGCGGGAGACCTGGGTTCGACTCCCAGTCGGGGAGATTTCTTTTTGGTCAAGAATTTTTGACCTATGTAGAAAAATGCAGTAAATGTTGATGTTATTGTTCTGTCTTTCTTATCTTCTTTTTCCTGGGGCACCCAACATCTAGGCACACTCAACCGAATATTCTTTTGCTTACTATACCACTAAATCGAAGGCCGGAAAGATCTCACGTTTGTATTAAGGTATACTATAGACGGTCGTCATCAACATTTCAGGCGCAATTGGTCTAGAACTTTATCCACGCATCCACCAGATCAACCTGGCGTTCTCCTCGCCGCCAGGCTTCGTATGAATCGACAACAAATGAGTGTCGTGCAGTCATGACTCACTCAAAACGCCGTATTGGAATGGAACAAATATAGAGGATGGAAATAAACGGAAAGGAAAGAAAAGGAACAAAAACAACATAAGGTAAAAAAGGAACAAAAACAACATAAGGTAAAAAAGGAAAGGACTTGTAGGCCCTGAATATTCGTTCAAAAAACAGAAACCCGAGAATGGTATCTCACCCACTCATTCTAGTTGTCCTCTTTCTTTATAAATGAAAAATGAAGCAGGATGATATTATCAACCTTGTCTAGGAAGGGGAAAAGGAAAAGGAGAGGTAGTATGTTTACCCCTTCCGACTGTCATCCGCCAGCTTACTGGAAGAATGTCCATGAGCCTGTCGAGCATGGATGTTGCCATTTCGGTCCTCGTCAGACTGACTCGAGCTGTCATCTCCCATGGTGCCGGCGGTGGACGCACTCCGCAAGCGTTGCGCGCGGTCTTGGAGCACCTGGGCTTCCGCCGCGGCCCTCTGCGCCCGGATTTGCTTCCGCCACATGCTCGCGTACCGGCCTTTCAGGGCCAGCAATTGATCGTGTGTACCCCTTTCAGCCACCTTGCCCTCATGCAATACCAGAATCTGGTCGGCGGTAGTGATGGTACTCAGCCGATGGGCGATAACAAGCATGGTACGACCGCGAGAGAGCGTAGAGAGCGCCCCTTGGATATGCTCCTCCGTCTCCGTATCCAGAGCGGCGGTTGCTTCATCCAACAGAATAATGCGAGGGTTCTTGAGGATGGTACGGGCAATGGCCACCCGTTGCTTCTCACCTCCGCTGAGCCGAAGACCACGCTCACCCACCTTAGTGTTGTATCCGTCAGGGAACGACATGATCTTGTCGTGGATGCTGGCAGCCCGGCAAGCATCGTAAACCTCTTCGTTCGAGACGTCTTGGTTGGCATATTTCAGATTGTACATCAACGTCTCATTGAAAAGCACAGTATCCTGCGGTACAACACCGATGTGCTTCCGGAGCGAATCTATCGTGGTATCTGTGACGTCGTGGTCATCAATTCGAATGCGGCCGTTTTCAGCATTATAGAACCGGAAAAGCAGTCGGAACACCGTCGACTTTCCACCACCGGATTCACCAACCAGGGCAGTCGTCGTTCCGGGCTCACAGTGGAAGGTCAGCCCGTTCAGGGCTGGCTTCCGGGTATCGTAGGAAAATTCAACATTCTCAAACGTGATGTCGCCTTTGCATTTAGGCAAAGGTGTAGCTTCGGGCGTATCGACAACCGTGGGCTGCTCCCTGAACAATTCCAGCAGGCGCTCGGAGTTGATCAGGGCGGACTGAATGGAGCGGTAGAAGGTACCGAAAAAGTTCAGCGGTCCCTGCAGCTGGGCCATGTACGTCAGAAGAGAAACGAACTTGCCAACATCTCGCTGTCCAAGCGCGACTTGATATGCGGCGATGAAGCATGCAATAAGCAGACCAAGCATGAAGACAGTGTTCTGCGATGTATTCATGAGATTCAGCGAGAACAAGACATGATATTCGGCCTTTTGGTAGTCGGACACGGCACCGCGATACCGACTGAACTCGTAATCCTCAGCATTGAAGTACTTGACGGTCTCGTAGGACACCATCGAATCGTTCCTGTCTCTGTGTTAGTAACGCATGGAGGGGACCTTAAGGGAAAGGCTTGGCGCTTACTTAACGGCATCCTCTTGCCTGGACGCGTTCACCATCTGCCGGCGGATCTCCGCCCGCCATTGCGCCATGCGCACGGTGACGTAGAGATAGCAAAAAGTAACGACAGTAACAACCAACGCGTAGTAAGCATCGAAAGCAACGAGGAAGTATACGATGGCAACGCAGAGGTCGATTAACATAGGTACGACTTGAAACGTTACTTGCTCCAAAAACGTATTGATGGAGCTACCTTTACTCAGTGCGGAGAGGACTTCGCCTGTCTTCTTACCCAGGTGAAAATCGAGACTGAGCCCATGCACATGCTCGAACGCCGCAGTCGACAGTTCCATGTAAGAATACTGGCTCACAGGAATCCAAAGACTGGAGCGCAACGATCCAATGAGTCCCTGGTTGCCCTGCAACCAGCGGTAGAGAATATACATACAGATCTCAAACCACGGGACCCGAAATTCATCGCCATCTTTGGACAATGCGTTGGTGATGACCCCCACTTGGTAGGGGACTAGGACATTGACGACTCGCTGCAGGATAATCAATAAGAAGCAGACCACCACGACGCCTTGTAGACGACGGGACTTGGATGGCCAGAGATACGGAAAGAATAGAGAATAACCGCTCAGATACTCCCACCAGCTTGTGGAGGGGACGGTTGTGGGCCGAACCCAGGGATCGGCGGCAGGTTTCGAGGGCTGTTGCTGATGGTTGTTCGGGAGGGAGCCGTAGCCGTTGCCGTTTCCGTTCTCCGCGTGCGCAGGGTCGAGCAATCCCGTAGATTCCGTGGCACCGTCGGCGTGTCCTCGAGGTTTCTGTGCATTGATCTTGACGTTCATCGTTTTGAACAAGTAGGTAGCAACCAAGATCGCGAGGACCAATATTCTGACGCAATTCGACGCAACCTCCATCGATTCCCATACCGTCATGCCCTTGCGCAATCGGCCGCCGACGGGATTTCCTACAATGGGCTCGCGATGAATATCCGCATGAATCGAAAGGGAGACACCCAAGATAGCCATTTCAATAGGAACTGCAATTGACCACGGAATAAATTGCGCAAATGTTGGAGAGGGGTTTGTATCCAGCAACGAGACTAAGATGATCGCGTAGACAAAAAAGGACCCTACAATGTAGATCTGCAAGAAGTAAGTTAGCGCGACCAATTTCAAATGTGCAGGGCAAACGAAACCAGCGAAAACCGGGGTTTGTGTACAACAAGACAAGGGTTCAAAGGAGAGGAGCAAGAAGCTCACCACTACAGATTGACCACACCACCATTGCTCGGACCTGGCGAGCATAACGTGGGTCACATTGATGGCGGCATCAGCAACCAGCGTCGCCAGTATTACCACCGAGAGCCATTTAATCAAGAGTTTGGCATTTCGCGAAAAGGGATGGACCGGTTTGACGAAGGTTGCCGAGCTCCTTGATCGTTTGGGTAGCGGTCTCCCCCCCGGCCCCATGCGCGCGGCCGATGAATTCTTGCTGACATTTCTGGCAGTTAATATGGAATTGGCGATGAAGGACGAGACAAACACCAGAAGGAGCAAAATGGGATATCCGGTGCGAAGATATTCCAGCAATTCACGAGTGGCGTAATGAGAAGCCATGATGAACGATCCTCCTGCAGGGTCCAAACGATTAGAAGACCATCAAGATATTTCCATGACACGCCGACCGCGTTCTTCCGTCCGAGGCTGAGGCCGATGAGATCACGACGATGTATATAGGTATCAAGGAGGACGAGCTCGAATCGGAAACGACTGGAAGGTGACAATGGCGAAAAAGCACCCGTCGATCGAGGGAGGGCCGAGTGTTGGTGGTTCTGTAGAAGGGATCGACAGACACGTGGGACAGGATCCTCGTTTTTGCTTTTCGAGAATTCAGCAGCGTGTTAAGATAGGTTCTAAAGTAAATGAGGTGTGAAAGAACGAATGAAAATATCAGAGGGATTTTTTGGAGAAAAAAAAAAAAAAGGGTAAAAAAGCAAACAGAAAATGTTGAAAAAAGCACGCAGGTCACAAGTAAAGAAACTTTTTCTGGAATAAGTACAAAAGAAGAAGAATACGCGTGAATTAACTAAAAAAAGGCTATATGAAGAGGGAAAGTCAAAACAAGATCGAGGGAATTGCAGACCCAGGAAAGACGGGGAAGTATTAAATAAGTAAAGGAGAAGAAAGACAGGACGAGGAAAAGAGGACGAGAGGTGGAGAGACGAGAGATAAGAGGAGGCGAAAGAGAAGAGAAGGAAAGAAAGAAAGAGAAGAAGAGGAAAAGGAAGAGAAAAAGAGAGAGGGAGAGAGGGACACGAGAGGAAATGATCGTTGGTAAATACAAATAGCAACTAACTTGCTTGACGGTCGAGCAAGAATGACGGTGTGAAGTCGGAAACTACCCAGACCGGACTAGCTGACCCAAAAGTTGCTAAGCTTGGGTGGCTCTTGGAGGCGAAAGGTCAAAGGTGGTAAAGTTAACTTTGGGGTGGGAAGGGAAAAAGAAATTAATATTAAAAAAAAATTAATTGAAATTTTTTTTTTTTTTTATAAACTGGATCTTGAAAAAATATCCACCCTTAACGGGGGGTTTTATTTTTATTTATGTTAATTATTTCTAATGGAATTTCACGACTGCGATTCATTTATTTCTCCTCCCTCACCTTGGACTATGGAGAATGGCGATGCAAATCGGATGTTTTTTAACGGTTTCTTTTCTTTTTCCTGCTGGGTCTGATAGTCTCCAGTACAGCGTACGGCCTATGGGCAAGTGCCTTGGAAAAGGATCAAACTACGGAGAGCATCCTCACTAACCAAGGAGGAGGTTAGTCACTTACGGAGGATGCTATCTTGTCTGGACCAGTATTTTAATCTATTAAAGACACACCATCGATATTCTGGTGGCCGGGGGGTTTATTTGATCGAACGCGAAGAGGTTCGTGCCCAATGAGAACAGGGATGGGAATGGTGGTTCGGCTGGATGCTTGCGAATTTCCTTTGGTTCCCATGAGAAAAGATGTCAATCATACCACGCAGGAAGGCCATGATCTGAACCGCCAGGTCTTGGGAACATGGGAAGGAATCCGAATGGGAAGGTTAAAGCCAAGGGTGGATTCGAGGATTGTGGGGTAAAGTGTAAACGAACTGGAAGCTACAGGGCACCGGGCCCCTACTCGTACCTCTTTGTCAACGCTCACTGTTGCGACTCGGGAAAGGCATGATACAAAGTAGGTCATCTAGATAGTGCTTGTGTAACAGGTGACGCCAAAGGACTGGGGAAAGGGAAAATAAACCAAAGAAAAAAAGGCGCACATAGTCACATACATCAGAAGAATGGAAGTCACCAGTCCGTAAAGTACCTACCTACCTACGTACACATACATACCGTAGATAGGCAGGGAGGGGGAGAAAGGATTTTTGCAGGGCGTGACAGATCTCGAGGCAAGATGGTTGGATAGTTGATAGTTGATACCGACCTTACCGATCGTTTGATAGAGGTGTCAATCGATCCCGGTCTGATTGGATTGTGACGACTCCGTACATGGTCTGAGCTGCACTGCATGGATCACTCGGATGGGATGAGGGATGACTGGACCCCCGGCCGACAGGGATGTCCAACGCAGTTTAGTCGCCTTCAGATTCAAGTATTGAATATTCCCATACTGTTTATCGTAGACCATATGGGTATGACCTAATGCACATGATACTCGACATACGGAGTAGTGTATGTAGGTAGGTCGAACTCTACGCAGTGCTCCGTAGCAATATCCCCGATCCCTCTTGTTTGCATGAAGAATTCCATCTATCTGATCCATCAAGCCTGTTCATTCCGACTGCCTCGTCTGGGCCCTTCTGGAGTCGCAGGGATTACTCTTAGCGTCCTGCGTAGGTGGCTGAACATGAGCTCGCGGTCAGGGGTAGGGTCATTGCTCATCACTCATTCTTCAATAATATCGCAGACCCCGTCAATACTAGCGACGAGTATAATAATGCTCCGAACCCTACGCAGCCAGCCAGAGCTTTTGAGCTTTGATGCCCTAGGAGGGGGACCACTCAGCCGTCATCGTCAACCACCCGGAACATTCTGACGATCTAGAATCGCCATCCACACCGTCTACACTGTCTACTGTACACTGTCTACCCTGTCTAGCCTCTCTCAGGCCCCCAATGCCGCCTGTTGACTCTCGTGAAGTCGAGGATGGCATCCCGACGAGTCGTTAAGTCTGTCCTACCCTGGAGTCCCGAGTGTCCGGATGATCTAAAACATGTCGCTGGTAAGGTATGTCGTACTGGGGATGTATGGATGTACGGAGGAACGTATTTATTTGCTCCTGCATTATTGTGGCCTCCAGATTTGAGACATGATCGGAAAGGACTGGCTGGGATTGTTTGACCCTGAAGTGATCCCGAGGGTTCCATCTTATTGTGTACGTATTCCTGAGGCGGATCCTGGTGGCTGATAATTATTAGTGTTAATAATAATAATAATAATTATTATTTTTCTTCTTCTTTTCTCTCATCACACACCTACACACACCCTAAAGAACAAAGTAAAATACATGTGGACGGGCGACACACCGCCTTGTAGGCTGCATGCATGCCGACCGTGGTAGGTGAAGACCGGTTTGCCTGCAGTGAAGAACCTCTCGGGCCCTGGATGGACACCTCATCTAGGAGTCAATTGCTATCTCTCTCGTTAGTACATTGGGTATCTAGGATTTTAGTTAATTTTTTTTTCTTTTTTTTTTTTTTTCTTATACTTTATTTTCTAATATCTCCCCCCCTCCATCTATCATCAGCTGGACAGGTCAGAAAGCAACGAGAACCGGTATGGACTCTTCAGGCCGATGATTCGGTCCAGACAGGCACCTCGGACTGGTTTCGTCATTTTTCATTTTCTAAATTTACCCAGCAAACGGCGCTAAGCCCGCACATCACGCGTTCTCGCCACTTCTTTTTCTTTTTCTTTTTTATTTCATTTTGGATTACATTACTACAGGTATATGATCGCGGGTTATGGAAATCCTCTCGACGGTTCAGATGAGATAGGATAATAAACCACATAAGATGAGATGAGATGATCTGACTGAATAGGAATTCCGATCGCATGATTCCGATCAGTGCCTGGCATTTACATTTTACACCTACAGTACATACTCTACTCCGTACAGAGAGTATGTACAGATCACGGCAAGCAGCCTGACTAATCGGGGATTCTGATTGCACTTGACCCGGCGGGAATCACCACTCACCAGTCCTTCTTCCCCTTCCCAAGTCGTCTTTTCTTCCCCCCCTCCAACTCCCAAGGGCAAAAGCTCCGCCTCCCCCTTTCCCTCTTTTTTTGATTGTCTTTGATTTTTCTTTTTCCGATTGATTGATTCCATTTCTCTTTTTTTGTTTTCGTCCCCACCCCCCTTATTCAACCTTCAACCTTCGGGACCCGTTGGCGACCATGGGGCTGCGACCCTGATCGGGTTAAGTCGTGCTTGACAGGGAGGAATTATGTCCGATTCTTTTCGCTTGCCTCCTCGAGGCAGCTCGTCACCGGCTCCCCCTCCCCCTCCCCCCCCGGCTCCCGTGCAACAAGGTCACAAGTATTCCAACCGCGCCGCCAGTGCCCTGGCAAGATTTGCCCAGCCTTTCTTTTCCGGGTCGAGACCCCCCAGTCCGCAAACTCCAGGGGGACGTGCAGACCTGTCTGCCGCTCCCCGCCCTACTAGGTCCAAGTCCTTGTATAGCTTCCCCGCCTCCGTCTGCCTTCACTCCCCTTTCCTTTGTTGACCCCCGGGGGGAGAATAAAGAAATTTTTGATTAGCTCCAAATTCATTCCCGTTTTCATCTCCGGCTTGGATTTTTTTTTTTTTTTTTTTTTTTGTATTGTATTTCCCCTCTTGCTGTGTGGACTCTTCCGCGGGATATCACTCCTCTCCCCCGCGCGAAGCTTCTTTGTTTTCGTGAATTCACCTTACACAGTAGAATGCTCGAGTTTCACGCAATCCTCCGTGGCTTGGAAATCTTGTTCTAACATCCCTACCTAGACCCGGTACATCACAAACGGTTACTCACAAGACGGGAATACCAATTGCGGCTTTGGACATTTCCCCCCAACGGACACATGCAGTAATCGGCGGCAAAGAGATCCTCAAAACCATTCGAGTCTCACCTGATCACTTGTCCGAGGAATTCAATCTCCGCAATGCCATCATCAGTTATTCCTCCACCCACCATGTGGGAAGCGGGCTCTCCGCGCGACACAAAGACCAGCTGACAGTGAGAGACGTGAAGTGGTCACATGGCACCTATGACCGGATCATCGCCACGGCCGTCGCTAACGGCCGCATTGTGCTCTATGATCTACATCGGACCGGTCTTGAATATTGCCGGTTCCAGGGGCACAATCGCCAAGTCCACCGATTGGCCTTCAATCCGCATCGACCGCATCTGCTGCTATCCGGGAGCCAGGATTCTTCCATTCGAATGTGGGACCTGCGCGTGCCCTCCATAGAGCGGGGCGCGTCGGTCTGTGGGAGCAAGGAACATTTCAACGGGAATAGTGATGCCATTCGAGATATCCGGTGGTCGCCCAGTGACGCGTCCATGTTTGCAACCGCCACGGACAGTGGTGCCATCCAGCTGTGGGACATTCGGAAAACTAGTGCTCCTGCAATGAGAATCACAGCTCATGACAGGCCTTGCTTCTCGGTGGATTGGCATCCGGATGGAAATCATATCATTAGCGGCGGTACGGACAGGCAGGTCAAGGTGTGGGACTTTTCTTCCTCGGCGGAGCGAAGACAGAAGCCGACTTTTCAATTTCGGACTCCGCAGGCGGTGCTCAACGTACGGTGGCGCCCACCGTCCTGGGCTCGAGAGCCAGAAAGCACCGGGAACTGGCAGTCTACCCAGGTGGTGACTTCTTATGACAAAGAAGATCCGCGCATCCACCTGTGGGACCTTCGGCGACCCCATATCCCCTTCCGTGAATTCGATCGATATGATTCGCACGCCGCTGACCTGCTCTGGCATTCGAAAGATTTGCTGTGGACGGCCGGTGATTCCGGGGCGTTCACTCAGACCGACGTTCGCTATGCACCTCAGGTGGTTAATCAAAGACCGACATGTGCTGTGGCGTGGAGCCCCACCGGCGACGTGCTTGCATTCGCCCAGAAGCGCCCTCAGCGAAGCACATTGGGCCTCAGCACCACCGAATTTGTAGGCCGTCAACACGAAGAAGATAGTAATGGCGGTGAGGTGCTTAGTCAAAGCCCAGCCGACGACCTTCTGGATGAACCTTCTTTCGCGTCGTTCCGCCACCGACATAGCAAGTCGAGTAGCGCTCGGCCTTCCAAATCATTAGGTGGTACCCCTCCCGGTACAGCAGATTTCAACCCGGTCCTCCCGCTTGAACAGGTGCTGGCAAAAATCAAGCCGCCAGGCCCGTATCAACAGGGCATGACCGGAAGCATCCCCGGTGCCACAATGAGCCAAGAAGTTTTCCAACACTTGGCCCGTAATTACTCCCCACTGCTTGGAGCCTTCGACGGGGTGCTTCCGGATACTTCTCGTGGCTTCCTGGAGTCATTGACCCGTAATGCGGAGTGCGCAGAAGACGCCTCGTTGATTAAGTTGGCCCAAACATGGCGCATCATCCAGTTTGCCGCTATGCAAGAGCTCGAAGTGAAAGCCAGAGAGCGGCAAATGACCGCCGAGAAAGGTGCCCGCAACGTCACAAAGAGACTCTCCAAGGAAGTACCAGCTGGGGAAAAGTCGCGCGCCTTAGAAGACGGAAGACAGGATAAACTGAAAACGCGCTTTTTCAAGGGGGTTTTGGAACCCGTAGGGTCCAAGAAGCAGCTTAGAGACGTCGAGAACACCTCGAATATGACCACTCCTCTCGCGCAGCCTCTGCCTGATTCTCCTGTTGGGTCCTCTGACAGCTCTGCTTCCCACATGACATCGTTGAATGATTTTTCAACCATCCAACCGCTCCCGCCCTCCGTCTTGAGCTCCAACACCGATACCATGAATTCTAACGACTGGTATTCCGTGCCTGATGCCGAGCGTCGCCCCATTGCTCAACTGCAGCAGTGTCGTTCCTCTTCAGACGAAAGTCCGCATTCTCGGGCAATGCTCGGCTTGGAAACCCAAGTTCCCGAAAATGACCAGAGATCTGCACCGCGCGCGATTGCCGGGAGAACAGACTGGCGCACTCAGAGTCATCCGGACTATAGGAAAGGAGCCTCGGAGGAAGATGAATATGACCAAAAAATGGAAGACAAGAGAGCGGCTATCCGCGACTATAAGTCGGTTCCGAAGAAGGTCCTGTCTCTCGAGTCTCCTGTAGAGACCACAAAGCCCCCACCTTTCCATCGTCACGAATCTACGGAGAGTTTCCCGATGTTCTCTGCATCCACGGGGAGCTCACACCCCTCTAAATCAATAGGCACGTCATTTTCCTCTACCACGAGGCTGCATGGTGTCTCAGAAAATGTTGCCGATCCTGTGGATGAACTCGGGGCCGAAACCTCTAACAAAGGCATGCCCAGAGCGAGGGGGGAGTCAAGGCTGGATTCTGGCCCCGCTCAGGACGAGGATATCGTAGAAGATGAGCCCTTTGACGGGGACCTTGCAGACTCCGGCCACCTCCATCTCGAACGACCGTCCAGTCCCCCTATTCTTTTGAAGGAGTCCAGCCCTCTCAAAACACCTAGCCAGGAACTCGAGGAGAGCACATTTTTCTCCGTGCCATGGACTACATCTGCCGGGGGCGATGAGTTCGATGGCCCTATCATCCCCACCAACCCAGACGGAACAGACGTCAAGCCCTGGAGTGCCGAGGCCCTACTGAAACAAGCAATCAGGCATTATCATAGTGGCGCCCATGTTGACGTTCAGACTGCTGCTCACTTGCTCCAGAAATTACGCATTCTCTTTCGGGGCCACGAAAAGATCCTCCCAAGCGAAGAGTGCGAGTTTGTCTACCAAGCCTACAACGAGCAACTCGTCCGCCAGTCGATGCACATCGAAGCAGCTGAACTTCGGCTCCTTTGCGTGCCCTCCTATCCGGCAGTTTATGAATATACACAGGCCGACACTTACATGAATGTGTTTTGTTTTACGTGCAAACGGCCGTATGAGAACCCCAAGAACGACAATCGTCGGTGTTATCGCTGCAACACCCCCCAGGAGCCCTGCACAATTTGCATGAGTCTTGATCCACCACCAGAATGGGTGGCGGAACAGACCGCGTCGCAGTCGGCCTCAAGTTCCGGATGGGACTCCGAGGCTACTTCTCATCTTCTATCGTCACAGTCCTCCCTCCGGACGGAACCAATCCCCCCGTCGGAATTGCAGCACATCGACGAGAATCTTTTGGGGTCTTACAGTCCTCCTCGACCGAAGGGCTCTACCCTCTGGACCTGGTGTCAAGGCTGCGGCCACGGAGGCCACATGGCTTGTGTCGGCACCTGGTTAAATGATATCGCTGCTAGTGAGGGCGGATGTGCCACACCGGGCTGTATGCATGACTGCGGCCCCGGCCCCCGTCGAGAACACAACCGGACCGTCTTATTAGAAGAGTCTAAGAAACGCGACACCGTCAGTAAGAAATCCGGATTCGGGTTCGTGAAGCGAGATGCCTGGTCCAAAGGTGAAAGTAAAGCGGTTGAAAAGGTTCGCGGCATGCTCAGTGTTGGTACGTCCGGTGGAACGAACGCGTCGTCCACCAGTACTGCAGGACCCAGCGCCGCTTCTTCTTCGAATCTGATGTCCCCCAAGAAAGTGCGCCTTGTTACCCCGAGCGAGCAGGGGAAACGGCGAAGTGCTGCTTCGCGTGCGAGTACGGGGGGTAGTAGCGGTCTGGCTGGTTGATTTTGCATCTTCGAGTTATCTGTCGTTGGCTGTGTGTGGGTGTGATCTTTTGTTTTTGACTTTTTCTTTTCTTGTTCAGACTTTACTTTCGAATATACCCATGTATTTCTAGTTTCTTGATAATTTTTCTTATATGATTTATGTTGCAATCCATGGATCGAGTACCTGCGTTTCGACTATTGGAAGATTGTAGAGACAAGAACTATATCTCCTTTCATCTGCTCCAATACAGCTTACTGAGCAGACTTGTGTCTCCAGGTCTTGCTCGGGCTCTTCAAGTGACAAGCGATATATTGGATACTATGACAGCTGGAGTCGTGAAAGAGACTGCGATGTTGTCCTGCCTTCTAGTATCAACGTGGAGCCGTGAATTGTAAGTTCTGGTGGCTAGTATCAGTCTGTTAAATGCTAATAACAATCTTCCCTCTCAGCATCTGTACTATTCCTTCGCTCTTATTGACCCTTCTATGTCCAAGATCAAAACAATGAATAGCTGGGATGGACAGTTCTATATTGAGTTCAACAACCTCAAAAAGCGAAAACACAACCTGAAAACCTATATTTCCGTCGGTGGATGGGATGCTGGCAGGAAAGGTTTTTTCAGATATAGCGCGGTTTCCGGGGACAAGAAATGCGTTTATCCAGTCGTCTATCAAAATCATGAGTACCTACGGATTTGATAGCATCGATATAGATTGGGAATATCCGGCTGCAGATGATCGAGGTACTGTTAGGTTCATTAATATTTCGGTACTGATGTACTGACAGTGGTACAGGTAGAATTCAGGCGGATACGGCGGATCTGGTCAAGCTTGTAAAGGAGCTTTACGAGGCCTGCGACAGTCAATATAGAGTCACAATCACACTACCTACCTCCTACTGTATGTGCAACCACTATAAGAGAAGAAGAGATATCAAGACTAATATTATTGGCAGGGTACCTGAAAGGCTTCGATCTCCCAGGTATGAGTCCCTATGTGGACTTATTCAATATAATGGCATATAACATATATGGCACATGGGATAGCATTAACCAATGGACTGACCCTGTTATTAACCCTTATACGAACCTGACAGGTAACCTACCTTCCCAAACTGTTTTCGATATCTTATTAACGGGTTGATTTGCCTGTAGAGATCTCAAATGGCTTGGATCTCATCCGGAGAAATAATATTGACCCCGCGAAGGTCTTCCTAGGACTAGGATTTTATGGTCGATCATTCACACTTAAGGACCCTTCTTGTACCGATCTAGGATGTCCGTTCGCAAATACTACAAGACTCGGAAGTAGTAGCGGAAGAGCGAACCCGGGAAAATACACAAGCACTAGTGGAATACTGTCGAACTATGAGATCGCCCGGGTTATAGACTACAACTCCCCGGAGATACAGTACGATGTTGAGGCTGAGTTAAAGTAGATTACCTGGAATCGAAACCAGTGGTAGGTTTTGCATCGCAAGTCTATAGATATAGATCGGAGCTGACGCGGATAGGGTAAGATACGACAGCGAAACCCTTATTCAGAAACGGGACTTTGCAAATTCTCTGTGCCTCGGTAACCCGTTTGCCTGGGCACTGGATCTTAGAGGCCCAGGAACCATATCTGATCTGTCTAACATGGACCCGAATGCGGGTATGGAAGGAGCTACTCCAGATGGCTCGGATAGTGACTCCGAAAATGTTTTTATCGGGCAGGATATATACTCGCAGGAGTATTCTACTATCCGCTACATTCTTCCGTGTAACTTTATATTTCCGCCTATGACCCTATCCTCCGCTACTACAATCTCTTTTGAGCCGTATGTGACCTCACTGGAAGTCATATGGGTCATAACAACGGCAACTACCCTTAACAATAATGTTGTGTCCGTTTCAACCGGATACTTACGTACCATTTAAATAACTACTTTGACAGTCCTACTGGTAACTACCACTGCAATTGACGCTTGGAATTGGAACATTACAAGCACCCTCCCAAATAATCCAGTTTATAGACTATCTAGTAGCATTCTGCCCCCGCCATTTCGCATTACAAATAACATTAATACCGACTTAACCACTCCAGGTGTACTACCGACCTCGGTGGCTCGGTCTATAACGCTACCGCCCTACCCTTAGAACACGAACAGTGGGAATAGAAACCCTTTTCTAACGGTCTCCTTTAGTTCCGGTCCTCCGGCGCCCCTTTGCACCAGCGGTTGCGACCAGCGATGCTGCCTCTTCTGCGATAGGCCCTGCTCGCGGGATTGCTCGGACGGTAGAAAGGACTTCTACGACCTGCGGGACCCAGATCCCCCCGGTAAACCGGGGTATCGTAGGCCCGATTGCAAGAACGGAAAGTGCACGGGTGAGCTCTGTATGTACATTAGCTGCGAGGGCGACGACTGCGATAACAGTATCTGCTCTGGGGGCAAATGCCATCCTGTCAGTTATAGCGGAGACGATTGCGGCAACAACGGCTATTGCTTTAGACCCGACTGTATTGTCGCGGGCTGCACGGGCCCGGGATATAATGGCGTAGGATTTTGCTTTAGTCTCAAATGCTTCTCTTTCGGCTGTTTCGGGTAGGGGTGTGGTTCAGATCACGCCTGCTTAGGACCCAAATGCCGCGTCACGACCTGCACGGGGAAGAACTGCCAGTACGGCATTTGCATGGGTAAAAGGTGCACGCCCGGCAGCGAAGAGAACGGCTGTAGCTCAGGCGAGGTAGCCCCTCGGTACACCGAGTATGTAGAGAAAACAACGTTTAACGCCGGCAGCACAATTACTATCACTACCTTGACCGCCTGTAGAACCATTACCGTAGTTGATCACCTGACGCCCGTCCCCACCTGACGCCCGAAAACCTCAATTTCACCGACTTTTTCGTCATCTT